TCTGTGTCTCAAATGAATAAATAAAATCTTTTAAAAAATTTTAAAAATTAAAAAATTAAAATAAAAATAAAATGGAGCAAAGTGTTGAGAGGGAAGTGCCATCCTGTGGCCTTCCCTGTGGTCCCTGTACAACTGAATGAGCTGGCCTGAGCCTCCAAAGGGAGGGATGACACCCAGAGAGGCACAGTCTCCCTCCAGAACAGACATAGACAGGACAACTTGTATCCCTGGGACGTCCATAAGGTTCCCTGGCGGCCACCAGCCCACCAGCTCTTCTCCTTCTGCCCCTTTTGAATATACTTTCAATTATCTTCTCAAAGATCCTGTCATGTTTCTGTTCCAGAAGCATATGGGGCTCCCTACTGCCTACAGAATTAAGGTCAGACTCCTTACTCTCATTCAGGGTCCTTTATGACCCCACTGCACTGTGAGTTCCTTGAGGACTCATCTCTGCATCACCAGCGTCTACTACAGGGCATGACCACAGTAAATGCTCAAGGAATACCTTTCAGCATCTTTTACTTAGCACCTAATGATGTGCCAGGCTCTGAGCTGAGTACTTTATACCAATAGCCCTCTGAGGGAAATATATTTAGCAGCTCCATTTTACAAAGGAGGAAACAGATTCAGACAGGTCTGATGCTAGGTTTATTCACTTGTCCATTTGATATCCACTTTTTGAGCACTTACTTTGTTCTGAGTAGTGAAGACCTAGCAGTGAAAAAAGTAAAGTTCCTGCTGCCAAGCTCACATTCTGGAGGCGCTGACAGATGATGCACAGAACAACATGTAATGGAGTGTGGCGAGTGCTGATAGGTACTGTGAAGAAAAAGAAAACCAGTTGAGGGAGGTTTTCTAAAGACTGATCAGAGAAGCCTTTGCCTGGAGAAAACATTTGAGTAGAACCGGAAGTGAGTGAGCCCCACAGATAACCCGGGAAGTTCATTTCAGAGAGCGGGGACAGCAAGTGCAGGCCCAGCATGGGTGCGATGTATGGAGTGTTTGAGGAATGGAGGGGCCAGTGTGTCTGCGGAGGAGTAAGGGAGGAGGAGAGGGAGCCAGAGAAGTAGCTGGATGAGGATTTTAAAGGTTATTCTCGATGAAATGGGAATCGCGGCAGCAACTGGCTCCAGTGCTGAGCAGAGTGGACAGTGGAGGGGCAGGAGGGGGCCAGTCCCTGAGTGAGAGGGGTGGCAGCTTGGTCTGGGAGTGGAGGGAGCAGGTCCGTGAGCCTCCCAGAATGAGTGAGCGAGCGAGTGAGCCCACAGGAGAAGCCTCGGGAGGCACAGATGGGTTGTGGGGAGTTGTTGAGAGGAGGGTGTCCCTTAGGTGAGGTCCCAGGGCAGGATGGGTCTGGCAGAGGCCAACAGGAAAGTGACCTCTGGGGCAGCCAGCATGGCATGCAAGTTCACTGCCAGTGGCCTGCTTAGGTAGGTGCTCAAAGGAGGCAAATGCCTGTGCAGCCCGGGCTCCTGGAGACCCAGGTCAGATTCCCCTGGAGAGGCCTGAGGGCCTTCACATCCTCCACCTGTTTACTACTCTTCTCTTCACAAAAAGATGGAAATGACAGACGAAAACAACTGAAATGACTGTTTATTATTCTCAAGCAAATCACAGCAACCTCTGTGTATATCTTTCTCAGAAAAGTATAAATTTCACACTCTTGCAGCAAATGGAACATGAAACATTTGAAAGGCTCCAGTGAGAAATCCGTTCAAACTCCGTGCCAGCCGCTGTCGCTTTAAAAGCCACAGAAGCGTCTCCCCAGCGAATCTGCCTGAAGCAGCCTCGGATGGGGCCTAGGCGATGGGCTATGCCTGGATCTCCCTGCACCCAGCGGTCTTAGCAGTGCATCTGCTGCCTTTGGAAGCAGATGGCTAGTTCCAGCAGAACCTGTGTTTGCCCTCCTTCCCTCTCCTCCAAAGGAGGAGCATGAGCGGGTCCAGATCTGCTTGGGCATCAAAACGGAAGAAGTCTCAGAAACAGTCTCACGCACGAGGGCAGAGCCTGGCACGGGAAGATGAAAAACCTGGTGGTGGGTAGAGAACCAGCGGGCAGTACAGTGACCCTCTCTGCTTGGTCCCCGAGTCTCTTGGGGCCCTGACCTTTCAGCCTGCTTATTGTTGAAGTACCACAAACTAGGCCCAGCCTGGAAAAGGCATCTCTGCTTTTGACAAGCGCCCAGTTCACTCAGAACACGTTGCCTCATGAGGTGACCTCAGAGCCACATGCAGGACCCAGGATTGGCTGAGACGCTGAAACTGGCTACCAGGAATGATATTGTGACTTACAATAACAGACATGTTTTGTTTTCATCCCCATTCCTGGCACAGAGATCCTAAAATTTCCTAAGTGACAAGAGCGACAAAGGTGTCTTTTGTTATTTCCTACCCTCAAGCCCTGGGGAGGGGAGGAGGCTGGAGATTAAGTTCAGTCACTGATGCCAGTGATTTAATCAGTCCTGCCTAGGTAATGAAGCCTCCATAAAAGCCCACAGGACAGGGTTCGGGGAGCTTCCAGGCCGGTGAACACATGGGAGTGCTAGGAGAGTGATGCCTAGGGGGCGCGGGAGCTCTGCACCCTTTCTCCAGAGCTTGCCCCGTGCAGCTCCTTCTCTGGCTATTTCCTTTCATAATAAACCAGTAACATAGTAAGTAAAGTGTTGCCCTGAGTTCCGTGAGCCAGTCTAGCATATTAATTGAACCCAAGGAAGGGGGTTATTGGAAGCTCCAATCTATAGCCGGTTGGTCCAAACACAGGTCACGACCTGGATTTGGAGATCGGTGTCTGAAGTGGGGGGAGAGTGGGGTGGTCTTGTAGGACCGAGTCCTTAACCTGTGGGATCTGAAGCTATCTCTGGGTAGATAGTGTCAGAATCGAGTTGAATTGCGGGACACCCAGCTTGTGTCAGAGGACTGACTGCTTGGCAGTGTGGGGAAAAAACCCCATGTACCAGGCTTACCCAGAGAGAAGTTCAAGTGAAGGTATAAAAACATTCATAATGATATGTCCAGAACAGCCCAGGCCACAGGGATGGGCAGTAGATTAGTGACTGCCAGGGGCTGAAGGAAGGGGGAAATGAGGCGTGAATGCTAATGGGCACAGGGCTCCTCTTCGAGGTAATGAACATGTTCTGGGATTGGACAGTAGTGATGGTTGTGCAGACTCTGTGAATATACTAAAAACCACTGAATTCTGTACTTGGAAAGGGTAGGTTTTAAGGTATGTGAATTTTATATTTCAATTTTTTTTAATTGCAGAAGAAAAAAATCTTTCAGGTCCCCTGTAGCAGCTGGGGCAACTCTAACATCTGATCTCCTTTGCTAAGCAGCTCACCCCCCCGCCTCCAGTGCATCGCCTGGGACCATAGCAGTGACAATGAACTTTCAGTTGAGGGGACATCAGTGTCAGGGCCCTTGGCACTGGACGTGGTGGTGCTCTGTGGCCAGCCCTGCTTTGGCAGTTACTGCCTGAATAAGCGAACCCAATCACCCATCTCTGCATTACTCTTACTGCCTTGCAGACCTGCAAGGACAGTAAGGGTGCAGGGTCTCTTCAGAACGTCTCTGACACCCATCTCTTTGCTCTTTATCTTTGGTATGAATTTCCAAAGCTGTGTCAGGTACTCAGTCGCCCTCACGTTGGGCCAGGCCTTAGGCGGGGTGTTGGGTTCACATAGAGGCCCCCCACCAGTTGGGAGCTGCAGCTCCAGGGCTGAAGGATGGCAACTCTGACCCCTGCCTCAACCCCTAACAGCTCACTCTTCCTCATGACACCAGGCATAGCGGCCTGTGCAGAGGACAGAGAGGAGTCAGAGAAGCCGGGTGCCGGTGGGAGATATCCACGCTGCAGCTGGGTCAGGACTGAAGCAGAGGGCATGGGGTCATCAGTGTGGGGTGGGAAAGTCTTGGCCCTGGCCTAGCCCAGGCTGCTTTGTGAATTGAACTGCTAGATTCCACTGGAGTATTAAAAAAAAAACCTAAATATTTATTTGCTTCATATTTACAAAGGTAGGAAGGAGACCCAGGGAGACCCCAAGAACACCCCCACACCTGGCTGACCAGGCCCCTTGCGCTGCAGAGGAGGCAGACACAGCTGGAAGGGACAGGATTTATGTTGCATACTTGAACTACAGCGAGTGTAAGACTGGTCCTATTTAGAGGGCAGAAACACTACAGGTGGAGCGTGGGGGGCAGCAGAGTGAGCACCGGAGTCCTGGCCGAAGGGTGCCCCTGCTTGCTGCCTTCCCCACGTCTCCCAGAGGCATCTCTGCGGCCCCGCCGGAGTTCTCCAGGGGGAAACGGGGTCTGCTCACATGATGCTCGCCGGGGTGAAGACAGGGCCCACGCACAAGGTGTCTGTGATCTCCCAGCCACAGGACAGAGGCTTGCACATGCCCTCAGTGTCCTCGTCCTGTTCTGCAGGCAGCAGCTGCCCTCGAAGCGCTTCCCTGCGGGTGAGAGAGGGGCACTGGAGGCAGCTAGCATGGAGCCCACAGGCCAGGGGCTCCTGAAGGCCCCTGCATCAGAAGAGCCAGCCCGCTCTGTATATATGGTTCCCACCTGGCCCCAGAGCACAGCCTAGGGCAGGAGCAGGGGTGGGTCTGCTGACCTCTTCCCCCACCGCTCTCTTCTCCCCTGTGGCCCACCTCTACAACAAGGGAAAAAGAACCCACATTTATTGAGTACTTACTACAGGCCACACATTGTGCCAGGCACCTTACTTACAGCATCTAATTGTGTCCTCCCCCAAACCATGTAAGGGCATTATTATCCCCATTTTACCAATGAGGAAATTGAGGCTGAGAGAGAAGTGACCTGCATAAGGTCACATCCCTAGAAGGTGGCAGAACTAGGATTCAACACAACTCTCTCAGTCCAAAGCCCACATTCTTTATATCCCAGGCTTAGGACTTTAAAAAAAATCCTCTCCTGCTCTCCTCAAAAATCCTACAAACCTACCTACCCAGGTTGATAAATGGCCCCACCGTCTGACCAGCTGCTCAGCCACAAGTCTGGAATCTTGTTCCCATGCCCAGTCCATCCCTGCCGAGCCCAGCTCCTGAACTTCCTTATTCCTCTCTCCATTCCCAGGGCCACCACCATCTCTAGCCAGGGCTACACAGTCTCCCTGCTCTGCTCCTGCCTCCTCCAGACAATTCTGGCCCAGGTTCATTTTTCCAGGAGGCGAATTCCTGCGCTTGAGCAGCCAGCAGCTTCCGTCTGTTCTCAGGCCCTGCCCAGCCCAGGCTCCCACCTGCAGGAAGGCCTCCCTCCTTGCTGACGTGTACACTTCAACAGCAAGTCAGTGGTCAGGCTGTTCTTTCTGGCGGGAGGCTCCCAAGGCCAGGCACCCTACACCCTCTGTCTATCTCCTTATCTCTCAAAATGGGTTGGTCCAATTTCTTAAAAAAGCATCAATGACAGACTTCCCACTGCCTTCGAGATCAAGTCCAACCTGGGCCTCCAGGGTCCTTCTTCATCCAGTCTTCTGCACAGGCCACTCCAGCCCGATGCAACTATTTGCAGTTCTTTGAATGAACGGGACTCAAACCCCCACCTCCCTCAGCCTGGACCACCCCCGTCAGCCTTCCTGCGGCTGGCTAACACCTCCTAGCCCTGACGACCCCTTCGCACCCCGCTGTCCCTCGCTCCCCAGTGACCTTTCTGCTCTCTGCACCAGAGTCTGTGTGTGCAGGTCACTGCGCCATCTCGGGTTCCCTTGTCCCCCTGGGACCCGGCCCAGAGCCAGGCTCTAAAGCAGGGTGTTTGGGCGGGATGCCTTTGATATGGGGAATTTCTGGCACAGGCATTTTAATACATCAAAATGTTTTGTTTCTAGCAATGAATAAACGGACTCCCCGCACCTCCTGTGCCAGTGTTTGCTTATGATGGAGCGGGGATGGTATAAGGAGGCCTGTGTGGTTGGCTTTTTAAGTTTGGTTCAGGCCTTGTCACAACACCCCTGATGTCACAGTGGCTGCATCAGCCCAATCCTGTGCCCCCGCGGGGAATAGACGCGACTTTGAGACTGAGCCCCACCAGGCTGGGGGTTGGTAGCATTGTTGGGGAGCGGGGTGCTCAAGCACCCAGCATGTCCCCCAGAACACAGGCTGCATTCACTCCTGAGACCCGGCACAGAAGTCCCATCAACTGCTGCTGCCCCTGCAGGGCGCCTCCCAGCCCCCAGAGGGGCTCATCTCCACTGACCAAACCTCTCTCTTTGTGATAGCACGATTCTGTGCAGGTGAGAGGAGATGCCTGACAGAAGGCCAGACAGGAGGGTTCAACAAAAGTGACTTCTGTCTGTCTCGTGCCCCTCTTGCCTAACTGGATCCCAGCACTGGCCTGGTGAGGCAAGTGGGGCGAGTGTTGTGTGCATTTCCTAAGGAGGCTCAGCCAGCAGGCAAGTCTTTCCCAGGCCACAGAGCTCAATCCACGTCTGCCCTTGTCCTCCCTTATTGTCCCCAGTAGCCAGAGTGGTCTTTCTAAAATCCAAACCAGACCATGTCACTCCCCTGCTTCAAATCAGTCCATGCTTCCCACTGCTCAGAGCCCTTCACTTGGCCTTCAAGGCCCTTCCCAGCTCCAGCCCTGCTCCCTCTCTAGCCACAACCAATCTCAGGTAGTTTCTTGAAGACAGCATGCTCACTCCCTGTTCTTTCTGCCCGGAACCCCGGGCTGCCTCTTGCTGGTTAACTCCCACTCATCTACCATCTTCCTTCCTCTGGGAGGTCAGTCTGGGCTCTCAGGTTCCACAGCCCGCCCTCACCCCCCCCCCCCGTATTATCAGGAGTGACTGTCTGCTCCTCTGTCTCTCACAGGGTGCTGAACTTCTCAAGGGAAGCTCCGTCTCATTCGTGGCCACGGCCAGGTGCCAAGCGCAGGCCTCACTTGGAATCGATAGCCAAGAGCTCCTTGTCAAACTGGGTTACACGGAAACCAGTCTCAAATCTCAGATGTCTCTTGTTCCCCGCCTGCTCCCTTCTCCTCCCCCACTCCCTTCTCAGCAGGGCCCCCTTACCAGGCCACCCGGGACATGGCATAGGTGACTCGGCAGGTCTGGGTCCCCCCGAGGGGGGAAGCCATGCCCACGGTGTAGGCGCCCATGTTCTCAAAGACCAGCCAGTCCCCTACGTGTAGTTGTGGCAGCCACAGGCCCTCGGCCACGCGGTCACGGCCATCGGCCATAGGGCCCCACAGGCTGCTGCTGTACAGGGACTGCTGCTCCGCGGATGATCTCTGCAGGAGAGAGGCACAGTCACATTCACCTTTCCTGGGCACACCCTTAGCACTCCCTCCCTCAAAAGCTTTCCATGGCTCCCATAACTAGTACAATAAAGACGGGAGGGGCCTTCTAGCCTGGCATCTAAGCCCCTCCTGCTTCTCTGCATTCATTGCCTTGTACATTCTGAAGCCACAATGCCTGGTCTTCAGTCCAGGCTTAGCACTCCCTCCCTCAAAAGCTTTCCATGGCGGGCGCCTGGGTGGCTCAGTTGGTTAAGCGACTGCCTTCGGCTCAGGTCATGATCCTGGAGTCCCAGGATTGAGTCCCGCATCAGGCTCCCTGCTCGGCAGGGAGTCTGCTTCTCCCTCTGACCCTCCTCCCTCTCATGCTCTCTGTCTCTCATTCTCTCTCTCTCAAATAAATAAATAAAATCTTTAAAAAAAAAAAAAAAAGCTTTCCATGGCTCCCATAGCCAGTACAATAAAGACGGGAGGGGCCTTCTAGCCTGGCATCTAAGCCCCTCCTGCTTCTCTGCCTTGTACATTCTGAAGCCACAATGCCTGGTCTTCAGTCCAGGCTCCAACACTTAGTAGATATGTGACCTTGGGCAAGGTACTTAATCCCTCTGAACCTCCATTTGCTCATTTGTAAAACGGGAATAACTATAGTATCTACCTCGTAGGGTCACTGAAAGGATAAATGAGTGTATGTAGGGCATTTAGGCCAGCGTCTGGCACATGGCAAGGGCCCAGTAAGATAGCGCTATCATTATTGTTGTTATTGTTACTACCTCTCTGCTTTGGTCTTCACTGGCCTATCTGCCACTTTCCAGACCCTGGGTCTGTCCACACCTCTCCAGCCCTTCCCCTTCCCTCAAATCCAGCTTGGCCTCTGGGCCCAGCCCTGGGGCTTCCTCTTCTGTGAAGGCCTCCCAGATGCCCTCTCATTCCATGCCAGGCCCCATCATAGGAGCCAGAAGTACACAGGTGAGTTAGACCCTCCCCACCTCGGCTCTCAGTCTGGGGAGAAAGATGGGCCTCCAACAGATAATCACAGGGTGACCCGGCAGAGGTCACAGAGGAACCCATGGGGTAGACAAAATTCTTCCCATTTCAGGAAAACTGAGGCTCTGCGAGGTTATGTGACTTGCCCAAAGACACAACTACCAATTACATAAAATTAAAATTTTTTTCTTCAATGACTTAAAAATGCAGAAAAGGAATCTGTAACACAGACCATTTGCTGACAACCAGTGCAATTTGTCACAGTGTGGGATTCTGCCAGGCAGGTCCTAGAGGAGGAGTCCTGACTGAAAGATGGATATGAAGGAACCCTGACTGTGCCCTTTAGTCCCCTTGTCCATCCCCGCTGTGCTACTGTGTTCCAGTCACTCCCATTGCTCTGGGCTCCCAGGGAAACCTCGCTTCCCTTCCCCCAACTCCAGCCCCCCCTGCTCTTCCCTGAGGCCCCAACCCCACCAACTCCTAATTTCCCTTTAGATCTCAGCTACAACAGCTTCGTGAAAACCTTTCCTAAAGCTCCATGCTGGGGCACCTGGGTGGCTCAGTCGTTAAGCGTCTGCCTTCGGCTCAAGTCATGATCCCAGGGTCCTGGGATCGAGCCCCGCAGCATCGGGCTCCCTGCTCCGCGGGAAGCCTGCTTCTCCCTCTCCCATTCCCCCTGCTTGTATTCCCTCTCTCACTGTGTCTCTCTCTGTCAAATAAATAAATAAAATCTTAAAATAAAGAGGCAACTCTAACTTAATGGAAATACGTTAGAATGGCCTCATTTCAGAACCAGAACTAACCTTAGTAATTAAGTTCAGCCCTTCATTTTCCAGATGAAGAAACGGGAGAAACGGTCCGAGAGATTAAGTTAACTTGCCTAAAGTTACTCATCAGCTACTATATGGTAAAGTCAGGACTCTAACCCATGTCTTCTGACTACCAAGTCTGAAGCCTTCTGTCACCATTCCTATTTTATATATCATGAGAAATGTGGTCAATAGCTATTGGGGGGAGGGGGGGAAGAAACAAAAAGGTATAATATATAGAAAATGAAAAAAATATACATTGCAGATGACATGTTTACCTACCTGAAAAATCCAAAGGGAAGGGGTAGTTTTGGGAGGAAATCAGTGAGTCTCAACATGCAAGCCATTGTCTCAGCTCAGAAACACAGGGAAATGTTTCCACTCACGATAGTAATGAAAGCATTATGTTATTAAATTCTTGGATGTACTTGAGCCACAATAACTTATTCAAAGAAAATAAGAAAACCTTAATGAGAGAAATAAAATACAAGAGCTCTACCTCTCCTAGCTGGAAAAACTTAATAAAGCAAAAAAGAGAATTCTCCCCAATTTAATAAATAGATTAAGTAGGCTATTACTAATTAAAATTCTCAAGATATTTTTCTGAATGTTAGAAGTGGCGTGATAAAAGAATAAATGTGAGGGGCGCCTGGGTGGCTCAGTCGTTGAGTGTCTGCCTTAGGCTCAGGTCATGATCCCAGGGTCCTGGGATCGAGCCCCACATCGGGCTCCCTGCTCAGCGGGAAGCCTGCTTCTCTCTCTCCCACTTATCCTGCTTGTGCTCTCTCTCTGTCAAATAAATAAATAAAATCTTAAAAAAAAAACAAAAAAAAAAAGCTCCATGCTCCCCCCAACAAGCTTAGCCTTCATTTGTCATAATTTATAATTAAGTATTTGTGAAGTGTACCTGCTCAGGCCTGTCTTCCCTGTCAGACTCTAAATTCCATGACCCCAGAGATCATGACCATCTTGTTCACCCCTGTCTCCCCCATGCCTAACAGTCTGGCATAGAGTAGGTGCTTTTTTGAATAATATCTTTTAAGTGAATGAATGAATGAATAGGAAATACATGAGTGATAGAGAAAGAACCAGAAGAAAGAAAGGAAAGAAAGAAAAAAAAGAGAGGGAGGGAGGAAGAAAGGAAGAAGAGATTAATAGAAGCCATCTAAAGAGTCTAGAAGGAGGTAATGGAGAAGACCAACAGGGGAAAAAGAAAGTTATAACACCATAGCCAGCAGCAGGGATGAGTAAAATTGAGAAAGAAAAGCCACAGATTGCAGAAGCAGAAATAATATTCATGTATATGATAAAAAGCTAATAAGCCATTAGTCTCAATAAAGAAAAACATGCACAAGTAAAATATTCAAGCTATCCATATTCATTAATTGAGTCAACAAATACTTATTGAGCGCCTACTATGTACCAGGCTTCAATCTAGGAGCTGGGAAGTATATATTCTGGAAAAGGGAGACAAATATATCCTTGTTCATATAACTTAATGTTCTTGTTTATGAGCTTTCTGTTAATAAATAAAATTACTCTCAGTTGCTCTGAATTATTTCCCTTAGCTCCACTTCTTAAAAAGCATTAAGCTAACTTTTAAAGCTTTTGGGGGGAAATGCTATATAAATGAATCCATGAGGATCCTGAGAAACGAGGTTCCAAAGTTTTTCCACAATAAAGTAGAAAGAAGAGACACCCTTGCATTATAATAAGAGTTCTCTTCTTATTAGTGGCATAAATAAAAATCAGTGGAAAAAAATTTTAACTTCTCAGGAAATAATGCAAAGCTACCCTTTTGCTATTTAAAGCCCCCACCCCACCCCGGGATGCCTGGGTGACTCAGTCAGTTAAGCGTCTGCCTTCCGCTCAGGTCATGGTCCCAGGGTCCTGGGATCGAGCCCCACATTGGGCTCCTTGCTCAGCGGGGAGCCTGCTTCTCCCTCTGCCTGCAGCTTCCCCTGCTTGGGTTCTCTCTCTCTCTGATCAATCAATCTTAAAAAAAATAAAGCCCCCCCTTCTTTAAGAAAAAAGTAAACAAAAAAAATCTGCAAAATAAATATTCCAAAAGCATGTGGCAACAGGCTTATGAAGTCTTAGCTCTTTTTAATGAGTGTGAAAACTGAGTGGAAACGGACAAGCCTCTGTAAAAATACAAGCTGCCCAATCTGCTACCAGGCCCTCTCCCTGAGAGAGGGCAGGGAGTTTACAGAGCATGCCCACCATTGCCTCACACCACATCTGGGAGGCAGCTGCAGATCCCATTTTACAGACGAGAAAAGTCAGAGAATGGAAGTGACCAGCTCTAGGTTCTGGAGGGAGTTAGTAGCAGAACTCCCGAGTGGTCCCAGACAAGGGGCCTCCTAGCTGCACCAACTGGCTGCCCTCCTCAAACAGGCCCAATAAGTGAGTGGATCCACACAAGAAACAAGGTCAAACATTTAAAATATCTTCTGGCCCTGATGGAGTCCTTAAATAATTCCCCAACTTTTAAAGAATAAGTCAATAATCCCTATTCTACATAAAGAGCACAAAAATATTTTAAAAAGAGAAAAATGGAGTGAACCAGGGCAGCACATAAAAAGGAAAGAAAAAAGAACAAAAACATATGGACAGAATTTAACTTGTGAACATACAGGAAAATCTGAAATGAAACCGTAACTAACCAAATCTGCACTCATAGCCAAAGATTCACCTTCAGTGATTTACCTCTATATGGAACAATATGGACAATTTACCCCTTTGGAAGACAGGAACAATATGAGCAAGGTGACCCCTGGCTTCATCATAATATGGAAAATATAAATCTACAATTCAAATCTAATTTTCCCATTACATGTCAATATGGCATTCAATAGCCTATAGCATCTATTCCTGATTAAAACTACAGACAAAACAAAGTCAAACCCTGCAATGCAGAGAGACTATTTAAAATAAAGAGGCAACTCGGGACGCCTGGGTGGCTCAGTCGGTTAAGCGTCTGCCTTCGGCTCAGGTCATGATCCCAGGGTCCTGGGATCGAGTCCCGCATCGGGCTCCCTGCTC